AAGTGGTTTGTTTCACTCAGCAGTGAGCTCAGCAGCATTCCTCCTGTTGCTAAAACTCCGTGGTCATCTTTACACGGCAGCTCTTCCATGGAGGGATGCTGCACAGTTTACGTAACTGTTCCCTCTTGTTAGATAATTGGGTGAGTCCCAGCATCTGAGGGTCTGGGAGCCTCGGGACTGGAGAAGGGCCAGTCTGGCTGGGATCCCAGTGACGGGGAGTCAGTGACGGGGAGTCCTGACACTCCATGGGGCAGGGGCAGGCAGTTGGTGGGGAGGCTCCCAGGCTGAAGCCGTGCCCTGCTTTTGACCCTGTGGGGCTGCCCCCAGGGAGCACTCCTTCCTTACTTGGAATATGTTAGTCTGGGTCCTCCATCCCATGGCCTGACCTTCCGGGGGGGGCACCCATTCCCACCCGGTGGCTCATCCCTCAGTAGACACTTCCCATCTGCTTCTCTGAGCTTGGGCCCCTGTGGGCAAGGAGCTGGGAAGGCCTGTTGGGACTGGCTGGGATGAGAGCAGAGCCACACCGGCCTCGGGGCGCGCCCTTCCCAGTCCTGGCAAGTGGGGTGGGCTTGGGGGCTGGTGCTGGTGTGCTCCCCTGTAGCGTCTCCTTCATCCAGGGCTCTGACTGATGCCTGTCCTTTGAAGGGCTCCCCGAGGAGGCGTTTGAGCATCTGACCGACCTCAATTACCTGTACCTGGCCAATAACAAGGTGAGGGGCCTCAGCAGGGAGGAGGTGTGCTGCCCACGCACCCTGGTGTCAGAGGCTGAGTTCAGGGAACTTTCACCAGGACTTCTTCAGGTCCCTGTTGCTGCTCAGACATGGCCCATACCCCACACCTTAACTGGGGACGTCAGAGTGGTCAGTTAATAAAGACAGAAGCCAAGGGGGTGGGGTGATAGCAGGGCTGGTACACTTCCAGGGCTTTGTGGAGGAGATAGCATTTAAAGGGCCATGAAGGGTCAGGCAGGGATCCTGAAATAGAGGGACAGCATGAGAAAAGGCACAAAGACACTCAGCCTCAATATATCTGGAGTGCCCAGAGCTCTGTCCTGGCCCTTCTCTCCGAACTCTCCATAATCGCCTGGTCCAGTGCAGTCTCCAGCCCCTCCCCGTCCTCCCATTTGGACCTCAAAGATCCTTCTGCCCCCTGGACGTCTCCCCAGAGGTCTAATGGAAGTAGGACTGCTTCCTGTCCACAGATGACTCTCGATCTCTGTGAAAGAGCGTCTCCAACCACCCACAGTACCGCTAGTCTGAGTGCAAAGCCCAAGGGCTTCATTCACCTTGTCCAGCAGCACTGCAGCCCCCCTCCCCCGCTCTCCCCGCCCCCCCACTATCTCCCAACTGGCCAACCCTGCCTCCTCCTTCGCTGCCCCTTCTCCTCAGAGCAGCCACAGTGACCTTTAAAAATCGTGCCCTGCTTAAACCCTCCAGTGGCTTTGCCTTCCACCCAGAATGAAAGCCTGCTTCCCCCTGCTTCTCTTCACATAGCCCTACTCGCTCCCTCCTGCCCCTCGCCAGCCCCCGGGCCCTGCAACCCCACCCTCCATGCGGGGTTTGCATGCTGCTCGGCTGCCTTGGGAGCCCTCCTCTCAGATGGCACGTACAGTGTGCCATGCCTTAAGGGTCTGTCACCTGTTCCCTGAGCACCCAACCCAGTCGTTCTGTCTTCAGCCTGTTAGAATTCCCTGCATAGCAGTGATCATTATCAGATACTTTTATCCCCTGTTTATTGTCTTCTCCGTGAGGATGAGGATCTAAGCTTGGGGTGGGGCAGGGTGGCCCGGATGTGCCCCGGATGTGCCCAGCGAGCTCCTGGAACTGTGCCTGGAATGTTGTAGACTCAGGTTCTACTGCTGAATGAATGAAGGGTGGGCATCGTGGGCTGTGTCTCGGAAAGTGTGGGTGCTCACTGTGGCTGGACAGCCAGTGTTGGGGGCCAGTGAGGGGAGAGAACAGGACAGGCAGGGCAGGGGACAAGCTGGTGAGCTTTGAATGCCAAGCTCGGGGCTGTGGGGTGCTGTAGAGGGCCTGTGTTGGTGTTATCGGAGGAAGGAGATGGGTTTCCACTTTAGAAAGGTAGCTGTGGTTGCTGGGAGGAGACAAGGGAAGGGGCCTGAATGGCAGCAGGCAGTGGGACCCAGAGCTGACCTCCTCCCCTCCATTGGTCTTTCTGCCCCAACTCTTCCCTTTCCAGCTGACCTTGGCACCCCGATTCCTGCCAAATACCCTGATCAGTGTGGACTTCGCTGCCAACTATCTCACCAAGATCTACGGGCTCACCTTTGGCCAGAAGCCAAACTTGAGGTCAGAGGTCAGAGGGGTCCCTGGGCTCAGGCTGGGGAGAGGGAGGAGCTGAGCAGAGGCTGCTACCCTGACTGAGGCAGAGAGGGCCCTGATGGGCTCTGGAGGAGGGCCATGTGGGGCAGTGTGGGCATGAGGCCCATGCTCAGGGCTGTGGTGAGAGATGCCAGGGGCTGCAGGGGCACGGGCTCCACAGGCTGAGACCTAAAGAATGAGGAGGCAGGATGGAGGAGGGTGATGTCTGTGGAGCAGTGGGAGCTGGGTAAGGGTGCCTCCCTCCTTCCTCAGCCCCTGGGGGCAGAGCTTTTGGAAGAATGAGCAGGGCAGGGTGGTGCTGGTGGACTGACACTCCTGGTATCACTTCTGTACCTGAATCTGTCACCTCACTCGATTCTGTCCGTTCCCCTGAGGAGCCAGGGTCACTGTGTGTGGCCCCATCCCGCAGATGAGAAGGCTGAGGCCCAAGAGAGGCACACAGCAAGAATGAGCTATATCTTCTGTGTATTCCTGTTGGTCCTGGTCTTCTGGCCCTCTAGTATGTAACCTCCATGAAAGCAGGATCTTGTTGGTGGTGTCCACTGCTATGTCTTCAGAGTCTAGAACATTCCTGGCATGCGGGGACACTCACTGTATACTTAATGAATGAGGCATTACCCCCTCTGAGCTAAGCCCTGTGCTGAGCATCAGGGACAAGAGGTATTAGGGACACGCCCCATCTTCAGGAGGTCCCACGGAACTCAGAGCCAGCTGTGTGGGTGTGACAGGCGGGGCATGACTGAGAATCTTGAAGGATATGGAGAAGATGGACTGGGAGTCAGGAAATCCTATTTCTGCCACTAACTTGTGGGGCAACCGCTGGTGGTCCTTGGTCCCCTGAGCTGTACCAGGGGCCGGGGGGAGACTACATTAGGTTGAGTCTGAGGTTCCTCAGATGGAAGGAAGGTGCTCTAGGCCCCAGGCCCCACCTGAGCAAGGTTTGCAGGCCCACCAGGTGAGTGGGCACTGTGGCCACGGGTGGAGTGGGGCCTGCGTGGGTGAGGACCTGCACCTCACCTCCAGGTCCGTGTACCTGCACAACAACAAGCTGGCAGATGCCGGGCTACCAGACAACATGTTCAACGGTTCCAGCAACGTGGAGATCCTTATTCTGTCCAGCAACTTCCTGCGCCATGTGCCCAAGCACCTGCCGCCGGCCCTCTATAAGCTGCACCTCAAGGTAGGAAGCAGAGGGCAGATGGGGCCCCTCAGAGCAGGGGCCAGATGGGGGAAGAGCCCATGTGGCAAGGCTGTGGGGCCGTTAGGACATGCCAGAGGGCATGGTCGACACTGTAGAGAAGCAGGCAGAAGCCTGGGCACCTGGCTGTCAGAGTGCTCCAGGCCTGGGCCCAGGCCCCATGGCTCCCTCAGAGCCCTCAGAGCACTTTTGCCCCTTGGCTGTCTCATGCTCCTCTCCCCACTGCCCCTCCCCCAGAACAACAAGCTGGAGAAGATCCCACCAGGTGCCTTCAGTGAGCTGAGCAACCTGCGGGAGCTGTACCTGCAGAACAACTACCTTTCTGATGAGGGCCTGGACAACGAGACCTTCTGGTAAGCCCCTGCCAAGGCTGCGGGGCCTCAGCAGGATCAGGCACCGGGAGGCCCTCCCGGTGCCCCCCAGCCAGGCCCCCCCACACACCTCTCCCGCCCACCTGCCCTGGCCGGGCTCCCTGGAGAAGGAACTTTGAGGCTTTGCCACCACCTACTTCCTGGAGGAGCTGAACCTCAGCTACAACCGCATCACCAGCCCGCAGGCCTCTGCTGACATTTCTGTCCCCAAGAACAAGGGATGTGCATGGGCACGGCTGCCAACGTTCCAGTGAGGCAGGGAAGCGCTGGCAGAGGCCGGCTTCTCGGTACAAAATAAAAACTCAAACATTCTTGTTGAAGGCAAATATATTTTACTTTTTTTTAGAGTCCAAAGCAGCCCCCGCCCCCCAAAAAAAAGATCTTAAACAACTGGTCTTCAAATAAGCCTCCATGTATCAGAAACCATGCTACAGCCCTCTACCCCAAGTCACTGCTAATCCAGTGGGCCTGGAGAGGACTGAGGTCCCCCAGTAAGAACGGGGGTGAATTAGAAGTAGTTTCCCGGCCACCTCCCCTGGGAAAATGGTGGAAACCAGAGTGGGCTCCTGCTGTGTGGGTCCCTGCCAACGGCCCCATTCCCTCTCTCCCAGGAAGCTCTCCAGCCTGGAGTACCTGGATCTGTCCAGCAACAACCTGTCACGGGTCCCGGCTGGGCTGCCGCGCAGCCTGGTGCTGCTGCACCTGGAGAAGAACGCCATCCGCAGCGTGGACGCGGACGTGCTGACCCCCATCCGCAGCCTCGAGTACCTGCTGCTGCACAGCAACCAGCTGCGCGCGCACGGCATCCACCCGCGGGCCTTCCAGGGCCTCAAGCGGCTGCACACCGTGCACCTGTACAACAACGCGCTGGAGCGCGTGCCCAGCGGCCTGCCCCGCCGCGTGCGCACCCTCATGATCCTGCACAACCAGATCACGGGCATCGGCCGCGACGACTTTGCCACCACCTACTTCCTGGAGGAGCTGAACCTCAGCTACAACCGCATCACCAGCCCGCAGGTGCACCGCGACGCCTTCCGCAAGCTGCGCCTGCTGCGCTCGCTGGACATGTCTGGGAACCGGCTGCACACGCTGCCGCCGGGGCTGCCCCGCAACGTGCATGTGCTGAAGGTCAAGCGCAATGAGCTGGCTGCCCTGGCACGCGGGGCGCTGGCCGGCATGGCCCAGCTGCGTGAGCTCTACCTCACCGGCAACCGGCTGCGCAGCCGGGCTTTGGGCCCCAGTGCCTGGGCCGACCTTGCCCATCTGCAGGTAAAAGGGGAGGGCGGGGGGACTGGGCCATGAGGGAGGTATCTGCTGGGGAGGCCAGGCCTTAGGAAGGGGGGTGAGCTGGGGGCGGGGCCATGCAGAGAGTATGGCTGCCGTGCCGGTAAGGAGTGGAGGGCCAAATACAGCGGGTGAGGCAGACAGAGCTCACTACCTGCAGGTACAGGCTTGAGGAGGGCTGTGGGAGTAAGGGGAGGTCATGGCTACAGGCAGAGGCCCATGGCTCAGGAGAGCCAAGCTCACCACCCACAGGCCAGGAACATGTGCCTCAGGAAGGCTGCACTTGGGGGAGGGCAGCAAGGCCATGAGGTGGGCTCCAGAGGCTGGGGGAGCCTACTTGAGGTGTTCTGAGCAGAGGGTATGGCTGTTGTGGCCATGGTCGGAGTCAGGCAGGATGTCTGGCCTTAAGAATTGAGCTTCTTATAATGAAACCCCCCAATTTAATGAGGGGCCGAAAGGGAACCTCATTAGAGAAACCTGGGAGGCAGGGCCAAGGTGCTGCCAGGACCCCCTGGGGGCTTCAGGGCGGTGCCATGGAGTCCTCTGTGCCCCGGATGTCCCAGGGCTCGCCCCTCCCTCTCTCTCAGGGATATGCTCACATGTCACCTCCTTGGGCGGTCTTTCACGCCTACCTCCTTCCTTTGCTTTGTTTTTCTTCATCACCCTCATCCCTCCCAGGCATTAGTCATCTGTTTGCTTTCTTGTTGCCTGTTCTTTTCTCTAGAATAAAGGCCGGCATTTTAGTCTGTTGTGTTCACTGCTGGGCCCAGGGCCCTGACCCGCTAGGCTCCCAGTCCATGCTTGTGGGGGCAGCTGTCAGGTTGGGATGTCTGAGTTGGGGGCAGGGAGATGAGGCAGAGCCCTGAGGACGGAGCAGGGTGGGAGTCAGGGAGGCAGCTGGCCCTGCAGGAGCAGCCTTAGCCGGGCTCTCTCCTCACCCAGACTGCCTGCTGAGTGCCAGGCACCAGAGTCCAGCCCCCTGGGCCAATCAGTCCCTCTCAGGTACTTTCCAGAACCCTCTTCTCAAGGGGCCCAAACCTCACTGTCCTCTCCCTCATACCGGCTCCTCCTGCATTTTCTAACTCACTAAAGGGGCTGACACCGCACCTGGTGCGCACGTGATACCTGGAAGCTGCCCTTGACATCCCCTTTTCACTCAGTCTGCCCCACAAGGCCCCTTGTTACTATCCCCTGCCAGTCCTTCCATCACCTCTCACTCTGTCCACTTTCTCTCCATCCCTGCGGCTCATACTCCTAGCCAACCCACCTCCATTTCTTACCTGGACCCGACCGTCCTAGGAACTCTCTACTCCTGTGCTCCATATGCCATCAGAGGGTATCTTGAAAAACACATGCTCAGCTCACGCTCCTGCCCTTAGAACCCAGATCAGAATCCTTGCCACGGCCTTCAAGGCCTGCTCTGCCCTGTCCCCAGCTGAGTTTCTTATTTCCCCAGGCATACTGGGCTTTGCTCATCCCGGCCCCTCTGCTGACAGCACCGTGTCCACTCTGGTGATGCCTCTTCACTCCTTCCACGAGTCTGTATTGAGACGCCACCATGAGCAGATGCAGTTCTAGAACTGAGGGCCCAGCAGAGAATAAGACAGATGGAGGGTCACCGCTCTCCTGGAGCCTGTACTATACCCGGGACTCAGGTGTCACCTCCTCTAGAAGCCAACAGTGATGGGCGGGTTAAATACCCCCCTGGGCCTGGATGAGTGCAGTCAGGGATGGGGTGTCTGTTGGGGTGACTCTTCCTCTCACTGTTGGATCTTTCTATAAGCAGCAGCTGTTCCTGCTACTTCAGACCCCTCCCTGCACTGGCTGCCGTCAGGGGCCCTGGCCCTAGGCTGAGTCAGGCTCCTCCTCCAGACTCCCTCTCTTGGCTCCATTCCACTGGCTGTCATTGTCAGGTTCTGTGTCCATCCACTGGTTCTGTGTCTGTCTCCCCTGCTGCCTGGTTTCCTGAGGGTGGAGGCAGTGTCTTAATGGATTCCATGTCCGCAGCACCCGTGGGCACAGAGGATGTGTGGAATGAATGAGGAGGTGCTGGAGCTGTGTGAAGGGAACACGGTGGGGAGCAGGGAGCCCTGTGTATAGAGGGGGAGATGGGTCCCTCTATGGTGTGTGAAGCTCGTGCTCCCCTTGGATGTTGAATCTGGATTCTTGGCCCTCAGCTTCCTGACCCTGAGCCCCTGCCTGTTGGGGTGAGGAAGGGAACTTGAGATGATGGAGTCCCACCCAGGCCTGCACGAGTGTGTGTTGGATGTAGGTGTGCTGGCAGCTGAGGGGCAGTGAGCTGGGCCATGCGCATCCAGGTCTCCTGCTCTCTAGGAAAACCACCCCATTTTCCTGGTTTCTTGCCTCCTAGAATGTAGGCACATGGTGACTCTGAGACTGACCCCTGCCCACATGGCCCCTGAGGTCCAGAAGTGAGAAGCCCCACCCCTGTGGCCCTTAACTCCACCCTCCTCTGGGACAGTAGGGCAGGATCCGTGGCCCCTGCCCTCTGGGCTCTTCAGTCTGAGGGGGGTGGCATGTGTGTTCGTGAGGAAGGACATCTTGGCTGTGAATCCACATGGGAGGGCAGAAGGAGCCGGCAGAACAAGGGTTTGGAGTCAGGCGCACCAGGTTCTGGCCTTGTATAGGCTGCGTGGCCTTGGGCATATCTCTTACCCTTTGGGCCTCTTTTTCCCTGTCTGGAAAATGTGGATAGTTTTAGATCCCACCTCCCAAGGTTATGGTAAGATTTAGATGTGTTGGGGGGCAGTGTTAGTGGGGGTCTTTGCAAGTCGTTAAGTGCTTTTACTTCCCTGGCCACCCCTGTAGCTGCTGGACATCGCTGGGAATCAGCTCACAGAGATCCCCGGGGGACTCCCTGAGTCCCTTGAGTACCTGTACCTGCAGAACAACAAGATTAGCACCGTGCCTGCCAATGCCTTCGACTCCACACCCAACCTCAAGGGGATCTTTCTCAGGTAGGAGGTCCCCTGTGGCCCTGCACGTGCCCCTGGGGCCTGCCTGGCTCTAGCGGGATAGTCAAGGCCCTTGGGAACAGCGCACAGGTAGAGGTCAGTGTTCAAATCCAAGTGGTGCACGTGGGCATTATTGACGTGACTGTGGCAAGAAGGGATCCCAGAGAGCATCTTCCCATTTTACAGCTGGAAAAACTGAGGCGCAGAGAGCATCGATATGCTGTGTCCACAATTGGCTGGGCTGTGCCTGGGCTTCAGACCCAGGACAGCAGATGTTCAGGTCCTCACTGGGCTCTGGGAGTTTAGAATAATTCAAGGAGCCCAGCTCCCCAAGGAGATGGGGAGCTTCCATACAGCAGAGCCAGGGCGGTTCTTTCCAACATCCCCACCTTCCACCCCCTTAAATCAGAAAGGAGAAGACATATTGGAGAAAGGCAGAATGTGCACTCTCAGGGGCTTTCCCGGGCTGGGCACCATTGGGGTGGAATGTGACCTGTGCACTCCCAGGGGCTTTCCCGGGCTGGGCAACATTGGGGTGGAATGTGACCTGTGCTTGGCTCCTGCAGGGGACTGGGGCACAGAGAGTGGAGGGGGCTTGGGATCAGAGCCCAGCCTCTGCCTTCCCACACCCGTGTGTCCCCTGGCCAGCGTGGCTCTGGCCTTGTCTGTGTGCCACCTCACACCAGGCACCAGGGTGACCCGGCCCAGTAGCCTCAGGACTCAGAGTTAATTCCAGAGGACAGGTGAGAGGAGGTTCCCAAATTGTAGTGAGAGCTTACGCAGCGGCAAGCCTTCCCTCACTGTGTGGGTGAGTGGCCCGGGGTCAGTCCCTGTCCCCCCTGCCAAGCTATGGCCACACTGGACAGCCTGGACTCCCCTTGATGCGGTGCCTCCCAGCCCCCTGCCTTTTGTGTCTGCTGTGCCATCTTCCTGGAGGGCCTGTTCCCTCCCCTTTCCCTTGGGGGCGTTGGTATGGGGACTCTGAGGGTTGGGCTCCTCGCTCTGACCCCACGTGGGTGGCCGTGCAGGTTTAACAAGCTGGCTGTGGGCTCTGTGGTGGAAAGCGCCTTCCGGAGGCTGAAGCACCTGCAGGTCTTGGACATAGAAGGCAACTTTGAGTTTGGTGACGTTTCCAAGGACCGGGACCGATTGAAAGAGGAGGAGGACGAGGAGGAGGAGGACGAGGAGGATGAGGATGAGGAGGAAGAGGAAAGGCGATAGTGACCAGGTGAATGGGATCTTACATAGGTGGGTGGTCTGTGTGGGGTACACTCACCTCTCCTCGCCAGTTTCTTCTCCCTGACCCACCTAGGGTCTTCCTGTCCATTTTTCTCCCTTGTCCCCGGGTCACCGATCATTGTGTAAACCTGTAAGAGCATTTGGTGTGCGCCAGGCTGTGGGTGGGAGGCCAGGTGTAATAGCAAGCCCATGGAGACGGCCTGTGCGGGGGATTCTCTGCAGGGAGATGAGTGCCCTGATGGGTCCCACACCCAGGGCCTGATGTGGTGGAAGCAGGGATTGGTGTGAGGGCCCGGGCAGAGGCCACTGCTGTGATCTCAGCCACAGAGTATGGGGCAGGAGGTGAGGACACAGACAAGCAGATGGGCCTGAGAGGGATTGGGGAGGCAGACTTCACATGGGGCGAGGGGGAGACAAGGCCCAGGTTCGAGCTTGGCAGTGAGGGTGGGTGAGAAGGGGAATGTTGAGTTGAGGGGCCTGAAAGTCGCTGGGAGAGGTGCCCAGGGATGGGTTGGATATTTGGGACTGGGGTTCAGAAGTGAGGTCTGAGCTGGAGGTGGCATCCAGACATCATCAGCCTGGAACAGTCATGTGGCTGCAGGAGGTCAGAGAGCTCAGGAGGGAGAGACAAGGCAGGGCCTGGGGGAGTGGAGCCTGCAGAGGGGACTGAGATAGAGCAGCTGGGGAAGGAAGTAGGAAAGCCACAGACAGCCCAGATCAGAGGGTGTTTACACATGCATGTAACATAAGCACCCGCACATATATGCAGTGCACAACACACATACCCATGCATACATG